GGACGGAAGGGAGGTAAGTAACGTTAAGTAAACGTTAAATAAGTACGTACGACGTAGTGTAGTAGTAGTACGTAGTACGTAGTAGTAGTACGACGACGAGACGAGAGAGAGAGAGAGAGAGAGAGAGAGAGAGAGTAGAGAGCAAGTGCGTGTTTTTTAAGAAGGAAAAAGAAATAAGTATGCTTATGGGAGAGAGAGGATCGTGTAAGGGATTCCAACATTGGGAGAAAGAGTGTTTGAGAGAGAGAAAAATGTTTTCCCTAATTGCCCTCATACGATTTCCAGGATCTTAAAGCCACGTAACAATTGCCAAATTTTAGTACGCAACTATCGGAAGTGTGCACGCGTCCCTCAAAATAAATATCAAATTTTTTTTAGTTTTTTTGTTTAGTGTCTCTAAATAATTAAATTACTGTAAATTTCTAGGAAATTTCAGCTTTAGCAATTTAAATATATCAAAACTTTATTTATTGGTTTAGGTTTCCATTTCTACTAACGCATATAAAAACCACTCACTATGTCTAAGAAGAAAAACGGGTAGGGATTTGTATTTCTCAGTGATCCCAAAAATAAATAAAAAATAAGCTAAAATTTTGGTGAGATAGAGCGATTCTTAAAGCGCCACTCCAAATCTTGCAAAAAATACAATTCGGCACTAAAACACCTCAAAATAAGTTTAAACTCAACAATTGTTGATATCACGAAAATTTTCAACCTCTAAAAGTATTATGTTTTATAGCTCTAAAGTTCTGAGCAATATAATTTTTGGAACTTCAAATTTTATTTAAAAATTCATAAATAAAATAATTTTTTATCAAATTACTTATAAAAAATTAAATGTTTTGCCCTTTAATTGTACCTCTTAATTTAATTTCAAACTGCCCATCAAAAAACACAAAGCGCATAACCTTGATTTCAAATAGTTGCATATGGGCAAAATGTTAAATCACTCATTTCTTATAAATCATTGTCGACAAGGCCTTTTGGGATCAACTGCACGAATCTTAATCCGCTATTCTGTTCTATAAAGAGTCATAGTTTATATGAAGTCATAAGTTTCCATATATTTTTTCACTACATCTAATCACGTCTTTTGTTGTCTATTTTTTTATTTATTTTTAACATTTCACTTGAACTAACTCGTACCTCCTAACAAATGTTATCTTGGGTCTGCGTCACAAATTGCTAGCCCATTAAATCTACTATTTCTCATTGTATTACCTATTGGTGTTACATTTAAAATTTCATTAATGTATTCATTTCAAATTTTATCCATTATTGTTTTGTCACTCATCAATCTCAACATTAACATCTCTGCTAAACTCATTTTATAGGTATATTGTTTTTTTACTGTCCAATATTATGCCCCATAGATCAAAGCTGATTTCACAACTGTCCTATAAAACTTGCCCTTCAGCTTCATTGGTATGCGGCGGACACATACATATTCAACTGCACATGCCCACCTAACTTTAATTTTATGTACGATATATTTTTCAATCTTTTCATTTTCAATTTATTTCTTATAAATATTTTGACCAATTTATCTAAAAATTTTGAGGTCACATATAAAGTTTTTTGGCACAAGAACTGCCTTCTCTAATCAGTTTTAAAAAAATCGCATAATCGCCAACCGACCACGCGGGGTCCTATAAGGGCATTGTGGTTATTTTTTAACCACGTAGGATGCATAATTGGAATTTTTTAAAAGAAATTGAAAGGTAGCGTTTATTGCGACTATTGCAAATCCACCCGTACTGTGTATTTTGTCCACAGTTCGACAAGAAAAGCCACAAAGTGGGCCCATTATAGTCTAGAATCTCCCCCAACATTGCTATAATATCAAATCTACCCCCTTCTCTTCCAATCATGAAAATTATTCTCGTTTTTGTCTGGCATTCAGTCATTTATGAACCATTTTATACAATGCTTGAGTGAAGGAAAATGGTTTGATAGGACTGCAGCACTATTAAAATAAGTAAAGCCTCACCCTATAAGTCATCTAAAATTATAATTTGAGCATTGACAAACCTTTACCTCCATCATAGGCTTGAACATTATGGTTGTGGAAAAACTTTTAGTATTTCACGTTTTAAAAATAATATATATTGTAATAAATTATCTAGACTATCTATTTCGTTCTAAAAATAAGTGTTTATAGATTTGCAAGAACTGTACTATTATTTTTTTTTCAAATTTCATTAACGTTGTTGGAAGTTAATTTTAGAACCATCATGGAGATTATCATTACTGAAAGTGCTTTTCCGATGTGGATTTGAGGTGAGGATTTATTTTGATTTCATAAGGCCAAGGCCTTATAAAAACCTCATCCTTTTGCGAATCTCAGCAGCTACTGAACATGACTTTAAATCCAAACCCTCATCCCTACTCAAAATCCCATGAGACATTCCATGTGGGCTCCCTCATGGGCGCCCCATGATAAATAAACATCACATACATGTCACTGTCGAATTTCACATGAATCATTCCAAAGAGGAATACATTTTTATTATTTTTCATAAAAGAACAAAAAAAGGAATAAAGACTTGCTGGTGGGTCCATAACAAAGTGGATGTTTTTTGTTTTGTTTTTTTGCTTAAATGTTAAACATGTAAATGATAAAATGGATGTTTTCATCCACATGAACCTTGTCATGTGGTTCCCCACATGGATTTGAATGAACCCATTTGTGATTCCCATATCCATACATATGCACCATAAAGCACATGTATTTCTCACTTGCCTTTCTTAGATCTCAATCATCCATCCAGACAAAGAGAAAATCTAAGCCCTTTGATTCAAGTGGTGAGTGTTTCACTTGCCCCTGTGCTAGGCCCATATTATCTACAATTGTGTGTCTTGGATACAGTAATAATATTTTTTTTACATATATTAAGTCATGTTGTAGGATGCAGCGGTGTTATTTATTTTTATGTAAATTAAATCAAACAGAGACAACCGACCCTAAATAGTTGAAATAAAGTTTGAATAATAATGATATATTAAATATAACAAAAACAAATGACATTGAATTGGACTAAAACCTTGCAAAGGGAAAGTTTGCGATAAAGCAACTCTTAAGAGGCATTTGTTTATTAAATGGAAATTTATGAGGCATTTGTTTCGGTCGGAAAACCATTTGATTTTAAAAAAAATGTTGGGGTTATGGTGGTAGCACCTCACACCCTAATCATCACGTTGTGGTTTTTATCTGCACTATTAACATCATTTCAATGTTTTAATACCTAATTTCTAATCTACTTGAAAAAAAAAAGGTAGGGTCTGTCTTCTGTACAGAATCACCAAAAATAAAAAGCCCCTCGGAGAGAACTTTCTCACAAGAATGATCCGCCCAAGGGAAAATGCTTTAGTATCTATTTAGGTATGGACACTCTTTCCCATGGAAATGCATTAGAAGCCAAACCCATGGAAAGCCACTTCCCCCATGAAAAAACATGGGAAAAGCAATGATCAGGATATTCTCTCGAAGAGAGAACTTTCATATGAAACAAATTTCACCGTGAGATAATCTTTTTCCTAATTCACTTCAATATCTAACTAAAAAATATAACTGTATCTTTAATTAATTTTTTATTCGAACTTTACAGTAGATTTTGGATTCACGTCGACATAGACTTTCTCCAATATTGATGACTAATAACTATATCAAAATTTTAATTCCTAATCCCCCGTGTTTTAAAGACACGGTTTCTATGAGTTGGAGGAGCCAAATATAGATGGTGCCCTCTTTATGATCTATTTTTTAGATAAATTTTAGGATAGGAAAATATATAATCTAACATGGAGATTATTAATATGTAAAAAATAAAATAAATCAATTTTAAAAACTAAAAATATATATTTCTTTAAAAAAAAGGGCAATTAATTTTTATTGTTTTGAGAGAGACCACCACCTTCATCCATCTTAAATATTGGATTTTGATGCCTCCAGGGATGCAAATGTAGAATTCCGTCTCTGGATGAGTAAACCATTTTTTATTTAAATGGACAATTAATTTTTATTGAATTTGACTAAGACCTTTGAGGCATTTTTTTTTGCTGGAAAGCCCCTCAGTTTCGAAAAAAGGGCTCAGACTATAGTGGTAGCACCCCACACCCTAGTCACCACATTGTAGTTTCCATTCCCACTACCAACATCACTCCACTAATACCTTCAAAAAGCTAATTCGCTGATCTACTTAAATTCGTTGATATGCTTAAAAACACGGGTAAAGGCCTGTCTTACCCATTTAATTACAAAAAAAAACCCCCCCGGAGAGAGCTTTCTCACTAGAATAATACGCATATGGGGAAATGGTTTAATATTTATTTAGGCATGAACGCTTTTTCCCATAAAATTGCATCAGTGGCAAATTCATGGAAAGTGGTCTAATATTTATTTAGGCATGAACGCTCTCTCCCAAAAAATTGCATTAGTGGCAAACTCATGGAAAGCCGCACCCCCATGATAAAGCATGGGAAAAGCGATGCTGAGCTAGGATGAGAACTTTCCTATGAAGCAAATGTTCCCGTGAGATAACCTTTCTCCTA